TGTGTGTGTCCACCCCTGGACAAAGGGTTTTCCACCGCCACTCTTTTCACCGTTTTTCCACCACTTTCCACACGCAGGGGCACACGGCATCCATGACCTACCGTGTGCAACGAAGCTGCGGTCATGGATGGGAAGGGAAGGCTGATCACCTTCCTGTACCTGCTCCCAACACACTGACTCCAATGGTCCACCCTGCCGCTGTTCGTTGGTTCAATGGTTCTTGATGCTACCACCCCCAAACCCACCGCAGCCTTACAGCCGACTTGCAGCCGCGCTGAGTGTCCGATCGTCTTTTCGAGTGCCACTGCAAACAAGGTTAAACCATACTGTTTTCACTGACCTTTGCGCCCTGCGGTTCTTCGCCTTTCTTCCCATCGGGAAATTGAGTTAACTGAATACAAGTGTCAGAGTGTGCGTCTTCTGCTTTCTTTATCTCAAAATCTCATGCCTTCTCCTTTGCCTCATGTGAGACACATCCTTGGCTTGGCACCCCAGAAGAACTGCTCAACACCACTCACTTCGCCCAAACTCGGCCTGACCGTCCCACCGCACTCGGCCGCCGATGCTCCGCCGCCGCACTCGGGACTCGAGGCGACCAGTCTCGCCCAACAGTGGCGCTCGGCCATCGAGGGCCGGAGGGGCGCGGATCGGGTCACGTTCAACGTGGCCCTGGGGAGCCTGGCGGGGCCGAGCGGTTGGAGAACTGCGGTGCAGATGTGGAAGGACATGAAGAAACAAGAGGCTGGATCACTGGATGATGGTTGGATGATATTGGATGGATGGGTTTTACCTGACTGTGCTGGGAATTTGGGGCTGCTTTTGAGGTTGCGGGGGGCGGTGTATGTTTCCTGGTTGTGGTTTAGCTGTGTGCCTTTGAAGAAACGGTTCATCGAGTGGAGTTTGAGTTGGTCAAGGATTTGCTTACTGATTTGACTAATCAAGGCAGCGCTGAGGGAAATCCCTAAGAGGGATTTGCAACGGATTTGCAACCAGTTTCCGTTCACCACTTGGTTTGTTGGAGTGCGTTCCTAGCCCCGTTCGATGAGGTCAGATCCGATCTCATCAGCCACAACACGGTCACTTGGAGCCGATGGACACATTGGGGTGGTGGGTCTGTGCATGTGTATATTGCCTGCAGAAAAACACAAAATGGAACCAACAAAAACAAAGCCACCGGCTTGGTCTTCGGACAAAAAAAGGGATCGAAACCCACGAGCATCACGAGGAGCGTTGGTTCCAGGTCCATGTGCTTCATTTGGTGTGGGCGAAGTTCTTTGGATACCCCCTTTCTCTAGAATGCATGGCCGGCCCATGTGTCAATGATGCAATCCCCAGTGAAGGGGTCGGACTACATTCAGTATGTTGGGTGCCGTGTGACAGGATGTTGTTCTGAAGGGCATGAGAACAACATGTTATGTCTGGGAAGGCAACTTGTTGTTTCTGATGTTGACCACGCCTCATCCAGGGCCGCAAGCGTTGCAATAATATGCGGAAGCCCTTCTATTGGGTGATGTCAAGCGATGTGTCTAGTGTGGGGATTGTCGTGGCAGTTGAACGCTGGATGGTACTGTATTTGTATGTATGTGTTCATCCAGGAGCCCCTGCATGCACATAAAAGACAAGCGTAGGGCATAGGGGCATAGGAGTGCTGATGCCAAAGGCATTCTGTGTGTCCCATTCCCGTGTTTCAACACATTGGCTAGCAAGCAGTTCCATGGTTAGACCCCCATGTTAAGGTGTCCAAGTCCCCATGTTAAGATGTCCAAGCTCAATGCTCACCTGAGACCATTCCATTTTTTGGCTAGAAGAAGATAGAAGAAGCCTATGAAAGGTCTATGAAGAAAAAAACACCTCACCAGAAGAAGATAGACCATTGGTCTTTTCATGCTCACCTGAAGCCTGTGAAAGGTTTTGAAAGTCACATTGGCAAATGCCCATGCCATGTCATGAAGAAAGAAACACCTCATGAAACGGCAGTCAATTTGACAGCAAGAAAAACATACAGGAATCCATTAGCCACGTTCAGTGCTCAAACTCTTCCCAGGTCATCCAGGTGTGTCACAGCCGTGCCTGGCGCTTGTCACTGGGGATCTTCAGCGCCCTGGGCCTTGAGCGTTTGCAACCCGATGCTGTAAGCCACGGGCTGTTGTTGGCCCACCAGGACAGTTTTTTTTTGGTTGGGAGCTGCACCACCCAGACAACCACCATGCTAGGACCGTTCTTGATCTTTACTCGACTGTTGCGTTTTGGGAGTTGGGGCATTGCATCAATAAGGTTTTTTCCGAGAAACACTTCTTACGTTGTGAGTGGAGGAGAGGAAAACATGAGCCTTCTTGGGTCCTCTTGCATTGGTTCCTTCTAGGCAGTGAAAAACATCGCTGTTTCTTCTGCGCTGAACTGCCGCCGAGCCGCTTGAACAGGAGCCATGGCAGCACGCTTGGACACTCCTCCTCAAGGCTCCAGTCGATGACCTCGACGGTGCTGCTTGCACTGCCGCCTGCAATGCCTGCGATGGGTGGCGAGCCGTTGTGGGTGCGGGGCCCACGGATGGGATGGGGAGAGTTATGGCATGTTATTGCACAGATTTGGAAAGTATATGGACAGTATTTATATAATTGACCCTAGGGCTCTAAGTGCCTCCTCAGAAGGTATTTGGACCCTCCAAACCCACTCCAACTTCTTAGAAGGTGCGACAGGAGCACTAGGGCTTGTGACTTCCCCCTGAAAGGACGGAGACCTTCTTTTCAGTGCGTGACGCTCTCCCCGCCTCCGCCCTCTCCAGGTCTCCTCGACCACTTCGCCCAGCAGAGGATGTGTCGCAGCCGGCAGGGCCTCAGCTCCGCGGTGCAGCGCTGCGGCGCCGCGGGCGCCTGGCCGAGCGCGCTGGCGCTGGAGATGGCAGGCCGCGCCGGGCACGGAGCACGGCGTTCCCAGGAGTGAATGAACTGTTCAAGCTGGAGGATGATGATGAGCCCCAATCTTCCATGCAACACGGAACCACCAAAAAGTGCTTTTGACTTTCCACTCCACCTGATCAACACAGGCCTTACTTTTGGATACTTTTGGGCTGAAACCATGGAGCAGCTTGCGATAGCTTGTGCTGCTCACTCCTTTTGCACACCATTTCCTACCCAAGTAGTCGCTGCCATGTGGCTTCAACTTCCGGATGTCTAAGGCGTTGCCGCTCGTCCCTCTCACCCCCCCGCCCGGCCGTCGCTTTTGGCGCCTCCAGGCCGAGGCCGTCGGCTGTGCAGCGATGCCACGGCCTTGAATGTGTTGATCACAGCGCTGGGCCGCGCGGATAAGTGGCAGGAGCTGCGTGGCCTGCGCGGGTCCATTCCGAAGTGGTCGGCTGTCGGTCGTTCTTGCCTTCAGTGAGTTCATAGATGGGAGACAGACAGAGAGAGAGAGAGAGAGAGACAGAATATGTCTGCAGTAATGTTGTTTTTTGGTTTAAATGATGTTAGTAACCACATAGGATAGAGATGCAGACAATTTATTGGTGTATGTAACTTTTATGTGATGGGAATTGTGCTTCGGGCTGCAGTATGGGGTCATCACGTTGTGGTAAAATTTCAGGTCTCTACCTAGGCAGACCATGCAAGATGGATACAGATTGGCCCAGTTGTCCGCAGGAGGCCTTGCAGGTCTTCCTCTCGTTCCGGGATGAAGCGGACCTTATCGCTTGCAATGCTCTGATGGCCATCTTCGACCGAGTTGAGCAATGGCAGCTGGCAGAGGAACTCTTCGTAGAACTGAATGATGCCCAGCCGCGCGGCAATCGATCCAGAATCCAGAGTTTAAGTGGCCTTTATCTGGGGATCAGTGTAGACGGATGTAGACGGTATTCACATTTCACATCCTGGACAGTCCAAAGAGTAGACTCTGGCCGACGGAAGTCCAGCTGTGAGACAGCTAGCTAGACGTTGCTGAGAGAGGAGAGAGAGAGAGAGAGAGAGTAGAGCTTTGCTAACTGCATTTGGCCCAAATAGGTGGCGACAGCCGAGTCAAGAGGCCATAATATCCATTGATGCTGGGGCCACTAGGTCCCTAGATGTGGGCTCCCCTTTTTTTTTAACCCCCCAACCTCTTTTTTTAAACCTACCCCCCTAGATGTCCCTAGGTACAGTACAGTTGGCCAGCCATTGCCGGGCTCGGCTTCTTTGCTACCCTCCGGCTCACTCACATGATCTACATGATCTCACATGGAAGTGGAAAAACCACGGTCCTTCCAAGGGGCCATTTTCCACTTTCACGTGATTGTGTTTGTGGCTTTCAGGATGCAGCCCAGCTGTTCCTCCTACCTCACGATCATCAGTGCCTACACCTCCCACTGCTCGCAGTGGCAAAGGGCACTTGCTGTGCTGGAGCAGTTTCGGAGCGGAATGCCCTTGGAGGCACTTGTGGAACTGTAAGCAAGAATCCATCGGGGTCCGCTACTGTTTGACACCAAAAGGGATCCTGCATCGACCTCGAGCTTCTACCCACAATAGCAACCACCAAAGTCTTTGCGTCAAAAAATGGGCCACATAGACCCGCTTTTGCAGAGTACGCATTCACTCTCCAGGGCACTTCTTGCAGTTTGCAAAGGCAAAAGTTGAAATCCGAGACTCTGAGAAGCACCACTTTCATTGAAACTGCTGTAGGCTGTTGCTGCTGCTGCTGCTGCTGCGAACTTCACACCCCGGAAGCCACTCACACCCGCCTTCTTGAGGTCTCCGTGCACAACGCAGCGATGACTTGTTGCAGCAAGAGCTCTCAGTGGACTTTGGCATTGCACCTCTTCAGCGAGCTTCGAGCTGCAGGTGCGGCGCCCGGATCGACCGACCAAGCGACGGCGGAGCGACGGCAGAGCGACCGCGTGAAACCAGAACAAGACATGATGCGAAAGAACTTGGCTGATGAAATCAGCTGGTGAATTCAATCAGATGACTTATATACTGATAGGTGACTTCTGAAATGGGAGGAGGGTCTTACAGCATCTCGCCTCGTGGTGTGGACCTCCAGGCCTCCAGGCTGACCTCATCAGCGCTTCTGCCTGCGTCTCAGCTGCTGCTGCCTCGTCCAAGTGGTGGTGGCCGGGCTCAGTTCGAATCAAACAAACAGGATGTATTTTGCTGGCTTAGGTTCGCTCACATAATTGTTTCAGTCCCCATATATTTTGTACAGAGCCTTTAACCGCAAGCCTTTGTGACCTGAAGTGTTTGTATCCAAATGTATAACCTTTCATGGAGCACATCAAAGATAGGATTAGGATTATCTACTCCAAAAGAACTGGATACAGATGAGTCAAACTTCAGCCCGATCGGGCTGAGGGCTGAATAGGGTCGAGGTTTGGGGCCTTTTGAGGCGCAGGACCTTTTTGAGTTGAGGTACTCTTTGAGTTGCCTGGCCGCACTTGAATCGAAGTCTTTGAGTACAACGGTCCACGCCTGCAGCTCTGCTTGCAGCTCTTGCAAGAGCTGGGAACATGCCCTGACGCTTAGCTGTGCTATGGGCCACTTGATGTTGGCATCATATTTGATCAAGTCAGAGAGTCAGAGGGTTGTTCAAAACTAAAACCAATCAGCTTAGTTTCTCCATAAATCATATTAAATCCCTCTAACCAACCAGTGTCCCTGGATGACCATGGGCAAATCGTCCATATGACTATACTAACATGACTGTCTTTGTCAGCAGTTCGGAGATGGCTTTGAAGCTTGCAAAGGGCCTCAGGATTTTTCTGCTTCCATGGCCTAAGATGAACATGGCCTAAGGCCTAGTGGGATCTAATGGGTACCCTCTCCATGCTTTCCACGGGGCGCCACCAGCTGGTCGCCGATCCCAGGATGCTCCTTCAGACCCTCCGGCGTGGCGCCAATGTGAGACTTGGCAGTGAGGGGACTGTGCGGGGGACCGGAGAGAAGGATCATGTAAATGCACCTGGATCTTCAAGGGATGTCCAGGCTGGAGGTCCCTTAGTAGTGGGCTGGGGCTTCCAGCCATTGAATGCCATCCAATGAAGACTCATGATGTACCTGACCCATGATGCACAGAAACTCGCACTGGCGGAGCATGGAAGGGAGGCACGTCACGTCCACCTCTGATGTGTACAAGAATGCTGAAGTTCAATGAATGAGTCGAAGGATCTAAGGTTACACGGAGGAAGTTACAAACGGGCGAACCGAGCTTTTCAGACTTTTCACGTGATGACAGGTGCCAACGACGGAGAGAACAGAGATGGTCTAATATTCCAAAAAACCCATGGAGTTGCAACCTCTGGAGCCGAAAAGGAGAGCCTTGACATGAATAAAACAAGACATGGATTCAACCTGTTTGATCCTTTTTGTGTCTTTGCCATGCTATCAAAGGGTGTGGGAACCATCTCTGCCTACATGGATTGAACCATCGTCCTTTAAAATCAATCAAGAGCCTACCACCTCCGGTCTTCAGCTTCGAACCACCGTATCCACGACCCCGGTCCACCACTGCCCACCGTCGCGGGCCCCGTCGATTCGGCCGAACCCGAGGATTGCTTACAACGCTGTGATGGGCTGTGAAAGCTCAGAGCACGCATGGCCACAGGCGGGTTCGACTGACGACTCCACGGCGGGTAGGGTTGTGGGTTGTGGCAGAGGACAACTAGTTGAACGAGCAGGGTAAGTAGGAACGTATCCCCCGAAAAAAGAAAGGAGCTCCGCTGCATTGATGCAGGAGATTGTTGGCCAGGGGTGGAACTTTTGGATGCGTGTTCTCCCCTCGGTTCCGCGCAGACCACTGAATCCGGTGGACAGGTTCTCCTTCGCTGGGCCCAGGCACTATTCCTTTATGCATCCCTTCACCACCAGCGCCTTACCGCCGATGCGACCAGCTACAACACGTTGACGAGTACTTGCAGCAGCTTGAGTTGAACCGCTTTCATGGATAGTCCGGGCCACTGCGGGTCGGTCCGGGCGGTCCGGGCCGGTCCACTACGGTCCTTCCATTCTGTATAGGCCCTTTGTGGAATCCACCAAACCACACATCAAATCCGTTGCCGGGTACACCACCGCGCCGGCGTGGCGTAAGGAGACCACCTGACGCAGTGGGCAAAGGAAGAATCTATGCATCAAGATGTGCCCACAAACACGTCATAGAGGATGGATCGGCAGGTTTTTTTTAGTCTGTGCGAATATATAAACCCTTTTCTAACATTGTCAGTCTACGGAGCTGTACTTGGGGTTTAGTTTTGATTAAGCCCTTTTTGGTGGAGTAAGGGCCGATCGCTCCTCTAACATGTTTGTGGATACATCTTGATGCATAGATTCTTCCTTTGCCCACTGCGTCAGCTGGCCTCCTGACGGCTGTGCCGGGGAAGGGAGTTCGCACGGGCCGGGCCTCGGGCCGGGCCGGGGTCAACGGTAGACCCGGCTATCCATGTTACGAAAGCCAGCCTTCGTAGAAGGCGCTAGCGGAGTTGTGTCTGGCGAACGAAGTGAGTAGTTAGGGGGTCTGGGGGGGTGGCCCGAGAAAGGTATACGTCAACTCGGCACATGCTGGGGGAGGAGGGTGCTTCGAGGGAAGGTTTTTTGAGGTTGTGTTGGAGGTGATTTTTGAGGGGTGGTGATGCAAGAAATGCCAAATGCATCATTTGCATCATCTGAATGGAAAGGTGTAGTTGGCACCTTGCAAGGTATAGAGACCTAGGGTAGCTATAGTGCAGCTACCAGGTATAGTACTTCAAGTTCCCTTTCCGTCAACCGCTTGAGAACCTCTACACACGCACAGCAATCCACAGCTTTGAAGTCTCATTCGTGCTTTGAACTTGTATAGGTGTGTAAGAGGTATAGCAACATACTATTTATACGGACCCAGGGTAGCTACAAGTAGCTACAGTTCTGTTCCGGGTATGGCGCGCATGAGGCTTCAAAGCTGTGGTTTTCAAGCAAAATTCAAGGTGGCCTGAGACCAGGGTTTGCTGCCCTAAAACACTCTGTTCAGGCCACCTTGAAAATAAAG